ATGTTCTCTGCAGCATCACAATTGTTTATAATTTATGTTTTTATTGTATTATTATAATTTGCGATGACTGAAATATTAAATGTTAGTTTTAGGTTTACTTTATGTTGGTTTTTCATTTACTTGTTTTGAACGCTTCAAAACAAAACAATTTTTGGTGCCAAAAGTCTTTATTGCTTTTCGCGGGTATGTTCAACATTTTTACAAAGCTTTTCCGCCCGTTTTTTATAATTTTGGTGACTATAAGTGGATAAGTGGCTTGGTTTTTCGTGTTTTAAACCTGTAATCAAAAAGAGAAATACATTAGTATAATTATATAAGGTCAAAGCAAATGTTTATATCTAAAAATTTGTTCACATTTGTTAATTAAATGGTGTATTTTAGTTTTGTATAAATGAAATTCAATTGGTTTTTATAAACTCAATGTTTAAATAGTCATTATTCAACATATAAAATGTAATACTCTTTCATGGAAAAATATTATGTGTAGATTTTTAAAATAAAATAAGAGCTTCTGGCTAATTTTTACTAAAAAGGAGCATATATACACAGCAAAATTTATTTAAAATATGCAACCATTTGGCTTGTGGCCTTGCGATATTTATGTTCGAATATAAGGCAAAGAGAATAGGTTTACGAATAGTTTTGCGATTGGTTCTCAAACAGACCAGAAATATTTCAGGAATATATGTTTTCTCGATTTTGATTGTGGATGGGGCTGAACGGGCTGCTTCCCTGGCTCCAAGTGGATTTGACCTAGAAATGCGTTTCCACCCCTCCCCACACGTCCCACACGCACACTTATGCAGTGGCATAACACACACACACACACAGACGGGAGCAACTTCGGGATGTTTTCGAAGTCGAAACTCGAACTCGAATCTGGCGTACACATGCGCAGTGTGGGAAGGCGGCTTCACTCATTCACCCATACTCATGGCTTTGGTAGAGAGTGGTCCTTTTTTGTATGGGCATGCCACCCCCTAACAGGGCGCACATTGCCATACATCCTGCCCTGCGTCCCCAAGGATATCGCGTAATAATTTTCATTAAATACGCTGCAAGCCTTTTGCCTGGCCACCCCGGCCCAACAACAACCACATCCGCGAGAAAGAACGACAATTTATTGCGGCCAATACGCACTCACATATGCACGCCTCCTCCGCGTATCTAAATATATGTGTGTACATAACCGGATTTCGCACGCTTTTCTGAATCCCACCCCCCCTGCCGTTTCCTCTTCTGCCTCAACATCAAAAAGTTTGACAGAAGTGGAGCGCCATTTACGCTGGGGATGCGACATCGAACCACCAGCACCACATGCACAAACGGCAGCAAGTCAACGACTTCGCTGCACGCCCTGAAAAGTAGGCAACTTTAACCATAAACTAACCAAAGTTGTCTCATATGCCACGTTACTGTCCTGAGCTGTGTTCGAAATAATTGTTTCATTTTTTTGTATTTCCCATCTTAAAAGGTAATTAAAAAGAAATTTCTGGCTTGCAGCTATAACAAAAATGCTTTACTACTAATACCGATTTTTATGAGTTAATGTTTTAAAACTATTAAGTCTATAAACTAAAACCATATTCGAGTATATGCTTAACAACAACAAAATAATTTTTCAATTAAAGTCGTCCCTTTTTATCAAGGAAAAAAATTCAAATGTAATTTTTCAGTTTTAAACGAAAATTTTAACATTTATTTTATAAGTGCAGATTGAAAAAATACAAAACCATTTCAGATTTTTTTGACATTTAATTTAAAGTATGATTGACAGTAATATATGTCTATTTTTAATTTGAAAACGGTCTTTAAATTGTTTTGAAATTGAAAATTAGAATGAGTACAAAAAAACTGATTTATGTGGTGATTTATAGAATTCTTTTACTCAGAAAAAACTAAAGTTTTTGAATTTAAATTGATAAATTTCATATTGCTTACGATAAATAAATTTGCAGACAAAAACAAACTAAGTTGAACCATGAATGAACACATTTACTTTAAAAATCCTATTAAATGCATCCAAACCGAAATGTCTCGTGTAAAAAAAGGGCTCCAGGGAAAAAATGATACAAAATAATAGTGATAATAAAAATAAAAGCATGTGCAACATGGCGTATACGCAACGTAAGCTTCAGGCAACGTCAAACGGGCAAACCCATTGTTGGAAAGTGAAAGTTTATAGTTGGCGCACGTTCATAAAGTTTTGCGTGTTATACAAAAGATTTATTATATCGCATATATCGCTAGCTCCTGCCATTCTTTTTTCCATTTCCCCATCCTGCGCATTGGACCTTTCCCTTCCCGATTTCCCTCACACACACACATATTTGCCTCTATGTTGTGTTTGCCTTTGCCGTTTTATGTTTGGCCTGACTTTTTGGTTTTGTTTGGCCCACACAGCAGCGGCAGCTTAAAAGCAATATGGCCTTGGGAGTTTTCGTAATGGAATTAATGTGCTTGTGAAAATTTCAATAGGCGGCGTACAAAACTTTTTTACAACCAAAGACGGACATGTCTGTTTGTCTGGCAGTAGAAAATGTTGATAAGTTATAAATCTGTTCGCTGTTAGCTTTTAAGCAGGCCACATGACATATTTATTGTTATATGTTGAAAAGGCCCTTTCGCATTTTTTTTGCTCACGCGTTTTGCATGTACTTAATTCACATTGCACTGTTCTGATTGATGGCTTAAGAATTCGCGGTTAAAAATACAGGGCAAAAGCCGTCGAACTTAGAAACTTATTCGACATCCATTTTATATTGCCATCTATAGTTACAAAACTCTGGGGGATATTATTATTTTAAGGCTATTTCTGCAATCGTTCGTTTATCATTTTACATAAACAATGTTTATTAATTATTTCCTTGGGGCATCTAATTAAAATGTTATGCCATTTATGTTCCATGTTCTAAAATTCCATGTTTTTCACTTCATGTTTAATTTTACAATTATGTCTAAAGGAGATGTATTTGATACTTTAACTCTTGGGAAATAGATCATTTGACGTGACAGACCGAAAGAAAAAGGATAAAACGTGGAGCCCAAAATATCCTCTAAGGTTCGACACACACACACACGTATGCGTCTGTTATGTACAATGTATATATGTTTAGGTAGGACTCTGGGGGGCGGGAATGGAGGGTGGCGGCTGATATTAGGGGGAGTTGGGAGTTGAAGAGCCAGCCAGAGGTTACGGGGTATTGGTCAAGCCTTGAGATTTTACGCAGCTGCGTAAGCTGCGTGTAAACCGTTATTATGTGCCATGTGCCCGTGTGTGAGTGTATACGCGTATGTGTGTTTTGGGGGAGTGTGCGTAGTAGTAAATAGTAAAACGGCGTAGCATACTTCTTTGGGCGCGCAAAATACAAGGACTTTCACCTACACAACCACACACACACACACCAGTGCATACCTCTATGCGCGAATTTTGATTTATTCTCCCATCAATTGAAACGTTGGCCAATTTATGGGAATTTGGTTATTTTCAGCCATGCTTTAGTTAGTTATTTGGCTTTTTGTTTTGCCCATTTTATTGTGCAATCAACGGGGGACTCTCTCTCTCTCCCTTTCTCTCTCTTCTCTCTCTCTCTCTCTCTCTCTCTCTAAGGACTCTTGCTATCCTGGCTCTCACTTACTTGATGCTCCCGTGCGCGCCAAATTCGCAATTTCGAATTTCGAATGCCGAGTGGCGAGGCGAGGGACTTGACCAAAAACAAAGTGTGGCCCAGTGGTTAAGATGGGTTGAGATTGGTGGGTGAATGGGTGGTTGGTGCAGCGAGGCGCAGAAATTGCCGACACTTTTTACTACGCGACTTTCGAAGTGGAGAAAGCGACGCGAAAACGAGAAGCGCGATTTGAGGAGAGACGAGAGATTTATTTGGCTGCGCGGCTTCGTCTCTTCGGCTTTTTGGCGCTCACAATTATTGCACCACCACCACCACTACAGGCACACTCGCACGCACACGCACATACATTATACATATACACATGGAGATATCTGTATTGGATTTTTTTCCAAAGTTTGGATTTTGAAGATATATCCTGCTGCGGGGTACAGAGATTTTCGAACACTGAACTTTTTGGGGCAGCGTGTTTAATGGAATGCCGCTTTCATTACCGCCGCCACACTTTTATCTTTTATTTTTTCTGTGACAAATAATACTGCACTTTGAGTCGGTGTTTCTTGCTTGTTAATTGGTGTTGCTGGTTGCATTGGGGCAGAAGTGATTTTTTGTTTGGACGCGGTGTTTTCTGCTCGGAACGCATCCACACTCGCCAGATTCTCGCCACGAACTGAGTGCGCTCTGGGGGTCTTAAATCTAACTCTTGGGGCACGATTCCTCGCCATTCGAACTCGTTTCCTCTCAACTCGATTTTGGCCAAGTTCGTTGGGGTTGTTATTGCGCCGACGATGCCAGATGGCCCGATGGACACTGTTAACCTATCTCACTCTGCTAACGGTACAGAACTTTAACGGATAGGTCAGCAACTATCGATAAACTGGCCAACATGCAACCATTTAATTTTGGCGCCATTATTTAAAATCTGTCGGTTAAGACCTGGTTAACCATCATAAATTCCGTATTCCGTGCTTTACACTTTTGGTTACTTGAATAATAATAAGTATAACAAATATTATGAATTTCTAAGACTTATAATCTTTTGGTTCATTTTCCATGAAACAACGTAAGTCTGCTTTTCTATATATTTATTTTTTATATTTCCTTGCATTTCTTGAAGTGAATTACGTTTTTTGTGTCAAAAACTAAACAGAGCCCAACTAAGAAAACAAGATTTATAAGTCAGATTTATTTACAAAAATATATTTATTTACTCATTCAATTCAACTTGATTTGTATAGTTTATGATTTTGCATTTGTTTATTTATTGACATCAAATCATAAATATAAGCGTACTTGTGAAATTATTTAAAATCAAATTCATATTTTTAAAATGATTATTGCTTTAAAAAACTACAAATAAAACATAAATACATTAGTTTTTTTTTTGTTTGCTTTTTCTTTTAGTTGTTGTTTTTTGTTGGTTTTCTGTTTTCATTCCAGCCTTAATTGTATGAACACTTACATGTTATTTATGCCTAAATTAGCGAATAATAATAATTTTCTACTTTGCGTTGTTGCCATTTTAATGTACATAACATTATTGTAAGAAGCCATATATAGAGAATTGTACACTTATATAATAATATATTATATGCGTTTCAGTTATGGTTAATTCTTGTTTTTGTGCGTTTTGTGTGTGTTTTGCTTTATGTACAGGATTTATTTGCTTAGCAAATTATGGCAAATTAGTCTAAATTAAAAAAAAATGTACAATGACGCATATATATTCATACATGTATTTTTGTTTATATAGTCTGTTCTGTACTGTTCTGTTCTGTTCTGTGCGTTCAATTCATGTTATATAACTCATTAATTCATCGGTTGCCATTTTCTTTGTCACTCCATGTCAGCTATGGACTTGTTGTCCAGTGTTTGTTTGATTCATTGTTAGTAGGGTTAATTATCGAATGAAATGCAGGGTTCAGCATTAGTCGTTTTAGTTCCCTCGACTTATAAGCTAATTTTAGTTGGTTAGTCAAGTACTCTGCTCTGCTCTGGATGCGAACATTGTTTTGTTTGTTTAATTTTTGAGGCGCCAGCAAAGTTTGTGACCAGTGCACAATTTTTTTCTGGCTTTTGTTATGCTCCCTTTTCAGCAGGTATTAGTCTAATGGTTAATTCAGTTTTGCCTTGTCTGCTATACTCTAGATGTATATCTATATAGATATATATATATATATATATGTTTGTGTGCTTTATAGATAGTGTACAGTTAAAATTATATTTCTGATTTTCTATAAATACACAAAATTAAATATTAAGCTGAGCGAGGAAAGTGAATATATCGCGAGTTGAGAAACATAAGCGCGTGGAAAATTTCAAATTAAATATGTGTGTGTGTTTAGCATAGGAATTAGGCAACTAATAACTTTTCACTTAACAAAAATAATTTAAATATAAGAAACACTTAACGTAGAGACTGTTTGGGCGGGTGTGTGTGTGGTGAGTTGTGAGAGAGAGGATGATGGCCAAGATCATGGGTGCCAATCTCTCAGCGATTGCTCCTGCTGCTGCAGCTGGTCACAGGATTGTTGCTGCTGCTTCTGCTGATGGCGTTGCTGTTGTTGCAGTTGCTATTGCTGCTGGCAGTGTTGCAGGTGGATGTGGAGGTGATGCCGCTTCTGGCCGCCGTCTCGTCCCCCTCATCGCCCAGGTACTCGTCCGGCTTGTGACTAGAGGCGGGAGGGGTCAGCAAATTCTCATGAGCGCGCAGCGCGGTAGCCGGAGAAGCCTGAATCCTAGCACGCATCGCATGCGCCGCATCCTGGGCCATCAAAACTTCGTCCTAAAAAGAATAGAGTTTGAATAAGTAATTGGTAAAATAATTAGGGTTATCCCAGAAACATACAAATTTTGTAAAACAATTTTACAACATTGTTTGATTTAGTTTTATTTATAAGAATGATTTAAATGTTGATTTTAAGTCAATAACTCTACGATTAAATGTTTTCCAAAATGTACTTTTCACAGAATTCTCTGAAGATTTGATTAATGCAAATTTATATTCTCTTAATTCTAGTTTAAAAGATATATTATCTTGGCGCATCCATATATGGACAATTTAAATTGAAAGTCATTTAAATAAGGGTTATATTGGAAATCCCTTAGAAATAGCATTTGGTGTTTCAAACTCTAGTAAAAATCAACTTTTAAAAGTTGGTATTAAGTCGTACAAGTCGTTTTAATAAGGCAAGATTGGACTTTGGTTAGAAACGTGTTTAGAAGAGACTTCCTATTCCTATTTTATATTCGAAAATACTTTAAATTTCTCCACATATCTGTATAGTTATTATCACCTTTCAGATACTTACATACATATCCATAGTGGTGGTGTGCGTTTGGATGATGTGCGAGTCGTCGGTGACAATATTGGGACAGATGTGGCCCAGGCCGAACTTGTTGCTGACCTGCTCGTTCTGCTCGTTGAGCTGCAGGTAGGTGGCCTTCTGGGAGACGACCCGGAAGAAGGGCTCCATCCAGCGGGCGCAGGGCTGAATCACCTGCCAATCCAGGCCAGAACAACGCAGAGAGGCCTCGCTAAAAAAAAATAAGAAAAAATCAAATAAGTAAGTAAGTAAGTATATTTCGAATGCCAGAGGATCGAGCGTCAGAAGCCAACTTACCGACTGAAGGTGTGACTGATGGCTGCTGCTGCCAGCACCGAGTAGGAGTAGTTGGCCATGCCCACGTCCAGGGTGCACAGATCCAGCAGCTGCGAGGTCTGCACAAACTCGAAGCCAGAGAACTGCGGGTAGATGAACGCATCGTCCGCCTCGGTGGCCTTTTGTCTTCCAATCTGGGAGAAGGAGGCCGGCGTGCGGTTGTTCACATTCAGCTGCATATAGACACCCAGCCAGCCGGTGATGGTGATGGGACTGATGTCCCAGTCTAGGGCCTGCAGCAGGATCTTCTCGTGATTGAGGATATCCCGTTCGGTGCAGGCCCCGTCCGTCACATAGGCGAACTCCCCGATCTTCGGCGGATAGATCTCCTCCACCTTGGCGGCCACAAACAGGCAGGTGATGCCGATCAACTGCAAATGCGTCTTCTGCACCTTGCGCGCCACATGCAGATAGCGATCCAGATAGTCGACGGCCAGGTAAAAGGTCTCCCGATGCAGCTTGTACACCTCGCACACCTCGATCAGCCAGTCCAAGAGGATGGCGCGCATGCGCGGCTGCAGCCCCGGATGCTGTTCCAGCATAGAAATGCTGCGCAGGCTCGAGTCCTGCTCATCCCGCTGGCACATCAGACGCCACACATCGGCGGCATTGGCCCAATTTAGGGCGGGCAGGGGACACTGGCGCAGGGCGTTCTCCACCGCCGGTGACATGCAACTGAACGCGGCCGCATCGTCCAGGGCGATCGTCTTGGCCGGAGCCGCCATCATATTGATCATAAGGTGGTCACTGACCGGATGCTGCATCGGCTGCTGCAGACCCGGAGTTCGCTGACCATTCTCCGCCTGCTGTTGGCTGCAGTCCGAGGAGGCTGGCGAAATTGTAGACGAGTAGATCTCCTCGTCCTCATCCTCATCCTCATCCTCCTCCTCGCCATCATCCTCGTCGTAGGAGTAGTCCTCGCAGCTGTCGTCCAGAAGGTCATCCTCCTCCGCCTTTTGCGTGACCACAGTGGTGGTGGCGGTGGTGGTAATGGTGGTGGTCACCACCTGCTCCACTCCGTAACGCACCACGACGGGCGGCTGCTTGGCACCACGGTCCGGACTGGGCGGACTGTCCGGGCTGTCCGGCAGCGGACTGTGTGGCGCCTCCGGCAACTCCTCGGCCGGCGAGCTGCGTATGCTGAGCAGCTCCTGGGTGCTCTGGCCGGGCGAGGTGTACACCGAGGAGGCCACCGACGAGAGGTTGCTCTGGTCGCTGCCGTACAGAGCGGGCAATCGCTGCTGGCGCTTGGCCGATGGAGGCTCAAAACCAAGTTCGGGGTCCTAAAATTGAAAAAGGGATTTCATTTGATTAAATAAGTTACTCAAATATATTTTAAATAAAATGTATAACTGCAGAGCATTATTAAAGGATGTCATTGCATCTTAATGTTGGTTTTTTAATCGTTGTTGAATTTGCAATATGTCAAACATGATGACTATTTGTAGCATAGACCATATATCTCATTTAATATTTAAGAAAATGTTTTCCAATTCATTAAATTATATATATTAAAGAAGTGAATAAAATAAATCTTATAAAAAATGGATAATCACTATGGGACGACAGCCTTAAAATATTATTACACCCGAATGTTGGTTTGACTAGTAATGAATTTTAAGTAATGTTATCCATAAAATACATGATAAATATTAAATATAAATTTATGGTATAACAATTTCCGCTTTAGAAAAAAGTTGTAGAACTATTTAAAGAGTTGACCATATATCTTATAATATTTTACAAAATGTTTTCCAACCATTCAGTCATATTTGAAAACAGAAAATGTGAGGACAAGCAAATAATCATTACCATTTCAATGAATTTGCGCTTCTGTTCCAACTTCATAATAACATGAACAACACAGAATGGAGAGGATATGCTCAAGTCAGTAGTAACAGGATCACACGCGGAATGGGAAACGTGCTCCGAATATAATTGGCCAAAATTTATGTGGGTTCGCCTGTCAAAATTCGTAATCCTTGATAGATGGACCGCTGGCTGGACCAAATGCACCCGCACAAAACGAAAACCAGTTGAGATCAGACAAAGGATCAAGGACTCAGGACTCGCATGAAGGTAAAACAATAACAATTTGGTTGAATGCTCTATTCTCGTGGGAACGGATTTTCGTTTTCGATTTCGTTTTCCTTCTTTTCTTTCTGTATGGTATGTTCGATATAATCAAAATTGTTATTGCACTTTTTGCTTTGATGTTTGCTTAAATTTAGTAGCAGTCTTTGGTTATAATTTGTTGCGTTGTTTCTTTGGTGTGATTAAATAATTGTGCAAACAGATTTTTGGTTATAACATTTAAAACATTTTTGGCTTCGTTTTTGGTTGTTTTGTAGTAGTTGTTGTTTAAGTTGTTGTTGTTGGTGGGTGATCTTGGCAAATCCGGTTCTTAAATTAGTTCTTTGCACTCGTTGTGTGTGGGGTTTATTAATATTTGTCAGTCTCAACTTTTTGCTACTTGGCAACGAATAATTAAGATTTTGGTTTGGGTTTTGGTTTCAGTGTCTTTTAGCTGTATAGGTATTTATAATTATTTTTATTTTTCTTCTTTTTTTGTTCACTCCGCTCTTGGCTTGGTCGAGTACCAATCTTCTTGGCGTGCGCTGTGCAACTGAGCTCAACGAACCTCGTTCCAGATCGTCGATCCCCGAACCTCGAACGCCGATCGTCGTTATCCTGGCCAACGAATGCAACGGTCTCGAGAATAGGGGTTGCTTTTTTTCCCCCCCACTCCCCGACAGAAGAGACGTTGCAGCGGTAAAAACAGGATCGAATCGCCACCAGACTTTCCATCTCTTTCCGTCGGGGGTAGTTCCCAAAGATATCCGTACTTCTTGAGACATTGACGTTGTTGTTTTTGCATTGCATTTTTCGCCTCTGGGTGTTTATCAGCCCAACAACAAATCCCGATCCTGATCCTTTTTACAATTATTTTTGTCAACATTTCTGTGTGCATCCAGGTAGACACAAGACGTCTTGGAAAATCACTACCTAAGCCCTCACACAGCAATATATACATATATATTCAATATAGTAAATAGGGAGTGGAGTATATAAATTATTTTTGCTAGTATTATAGCTTTTGGCTCGAGCTGCCAGCGGCTGCATTAAAAATCGCTCGCAACTCTAATAAATTATCTTTTGGCATTGATCAGAGGGGCTGGGGCGGTGCCGAAGCCAAATGTAGAGCGAGCCTAATGGAACCTCAGCCCAGAGACCAAATCATAAGATTACAGCACGAAAATGACAAAAAAAAATAGTATAATGGAAACGAAAAACTCAAACAATTCAGATCCTTGACCATTGTTCTTACAGACAGATGATGGAAAACAGAAGCCAAGATCAGAAAGTCCATAAGGTAAAAAAATTGTATGCAATATGGGACACAGATGTTACCTTTAGATATGTGAAAAAAGATTCAATTATAAAAATCATTTCTCTCGAAAAACAATTGAAAAAGCTCTTAAATGGACAAAATTAAAACATTTATTTTACAATAATTTTCTATGGAAATTTAATTTACAAAATAATTTAATTTAATTAGCTGTATTTGTACTATACTACAAGTATAGAAATAATTTAATAATATAAAAATATATTTATTGAACTTAGATACTTGTTAAGACAAAAATTTTTACCTATAATAAAGACAACTTTGAATAAATTTTAAAAAATATTATAAACATAAAACAAAAAATTTAAAACGTTCTCCATTTTATTTGCTTGGGGTCAAGTTATATATTACGACATCAAAAAAACGCATATAATTTAAATTATAAGATAAGGTTATCTGACAAATAAAAGAACAATAAAAATCAGAGAAAGACTTTAAAATCCAAAATAATTTCGCAACCTTTTTCTTGTGAATTCTATAACTTTACGATTGCAATTGATCTTTACATTGATGGAAAAAGGTTTCAGATCCTATATAATAGTAAAACTTATCAAATACAGGATGTATTTCATCAACTTTCTTAACAGCCAATCTCACACGTCGTAAAAGCTTGAAAATATCAACCAACCCTGCTTCTGCTCATTAAAGATTTTCACATAATTTGTAGCGTAAAAATGAGGGAAAAAATGTTGCGATATTTATGTGACATTCTTAATTGTCTGAGTAGGTTTACCCATCCGACATCCGACAGACATACGGCGAGGAGGAACTCCCCTTCTGGAGGAGTCGGGGGTAAGTACATTTTTCGCTTCCAGACAGGAAGGTCCAAGACGCATGACAAATTTAATTTCTTATTCTTCTGGCCAACAAACTGCAACCAACAACCCTCCAACGAAGATGATGTGATGTGATGTAGGTAACCGGGAATGGCAATTGCAGAATGAAAATGGACATGGACATGGATATGGATGTGGATGTGGACACATGTCAAGGCACCCAGATGCAATGTAATTAAAATCAAAGCGTGCAATGGCCTAAGATTCTAGTTCCGCATACAATGGACATTCCTCTAGCCTTATTATTTCACCTTTTTTTTTTTGGTGCGTGGACATTGCATCTGCCAGTGGGATTTGGTCAAGCGTTAAGGAATCAGAAAGATTATGCACGAAAATTCCCAGTTTACTTTATGACATGACGGAATGCAGGAGGAGAAAGATCGACCTAGTGAGTGTGAGAAATTAGTGAGCTGTAAAGTGGGCTGGAATCTGGACCAATTGCGAAAGGGTTGCATCCCGCAAGTTTAACAAGGGTTAAACTGGGTTGTTGCCCTCAAGGATTTGTGTGCCAAGTCCAAGGAGGCAGCTGCAGCAGCAGCAGCATTCGTCCTTCATCTCGAGATCAGCAGCTCCTTCAGAACGCAACCCACAAGGCACCCAAAACATCTCTCGAAATCTCACTGGGAGGGAAACCGTTGGTCGCCAGGGCAGATGATGCAATTCCTCAAGTTATGGATCGGTACATACTATACCATACTATGCCATACAAAGCAGTCAAGAAGCAATTGTTATGCGACAACCTCTGCGCCGTCAACCTCAATGTCCTGGGGCCCCATTGTGTACCTACCCTACAAAGTCCTGCGCTTATGTGTCGTAATCTTTCGACGGCCGTCTGCTCGAAAACCGAAAACCGAAACACCTTTAGTTTTCAGACCTTTGGCGTGGGTCCAGGTGTAACTTTTTCGCCGCTGTTGCCGTGTAATATGCTGCATTGTTGTTTCGTTTTATTTTTCTTTTCTTTCATTTTTTTTCATTTCTCCCCCAAGTCTTTGGATAACATTTAATTGCTTCTATGGCCTGTGGTAATTGTTAATGTTTTTTTCAAACGGTTGAGGAGATAGGGAATAATGATTAGGATTTCCCAGAAGTTCAGGATCTAGCTTTGAATTTCTTTATAAAATATAAAAGATCATGATCTAGCTTTGAATTTCCTTATAAAATAAACCAACATTTCCTTCAGGATAAATTAGCATTTTCCTAATGATCGTTCAAAATTAGCTCAAGTCCTGTCCACTCTTGGGACACTCTAGCTGCTCTTCTTTTAATAAATGATATGCAAACAACATGCCAGAGGACAAATCCCAGAAGGACCATAACAAACACTCATATTTCCAACCATATTTTCAACTGACCCCTGGTCAGTCCAGAAAGGGTTAATCCAACACAACACTTTCGCGGTGACTTGGCTGAATTTATCATCGGGGAAATATAAAACTTTTGATGACCAGGGGGACGGCGAAAAGGCTTGGACATGTAATTAATCATGCAATTGGTTAGATCCATGACCAAATGAATTAAAGCATAACCCATTGGTGAAATCAGGAGGAGGGTAAGTGGACAAAGGACAAACCGCGAATAAATTTTGAATGCGAAAAAAGGATGATGAATGATAGGGGAAGAAACATTTTCTTCTTCCAACCTTTTGAATTTTCCTGATACATATACTTTTTTTGATTAATTAATTGATCTAAGTACGAAATGATTACCCATAACTTTCCTAAAACGTTTGTTTGCTATTTATAAGTTACATAAAAATGCTTATCGGCTTAAAAACTGGTTAATTTATCAGATGAATCTCGATCTGAAAACAGATCACTGCCCAAGCTTCCCTAAAAATCCAGCCTTCATCTCTTGTTTACCATCGGCTAAATAAAATCCTCTTTAAAATTAAAAACAAAAAAAAACTTTGAATTACAAAGCCGGCGATGCATGATCCCTGAACGGGATGCAATCTGGGAAACTGAAACTTGAATTCAGTTTCCCACAATGTTCCGAGTCTGACTTGACAGAAATCAAGACCCGCACTTGATTGCAGCAAGGAGAAGAAACCCGGACGAAAGCAAACCCAACTCCCCTTTCGGGACAAAAGAAATAATGAAGTTTCCCGGAAAAAAAGGAACTTTCAGCGATTTCATGCCTGCCATGTAAGAAATAAGCAAAAAGGGTTTACATTACACTGACAAATTGGTAAAATAATACCATAATTTTGATCCTTGTGCCAGCAGCAAAACAAATATTGTATAATATTTCAGAAAGCAGAAGAGCGTTGTGCTGCGTGTCCCGAAAACAGATGACACAAGCGCTGCCCAAGGAGCTGGAATGATGATTTGCATAAAAGTTTAACGGAAATCTAATGAGCAGACGTCGTCGCAACGCATTTGCATAAGGATAACATGTCCCGAAACGGGGTAGCAAAATGCAACCCAGTTCGGGAAAGCATTTTTTACGGCCAGGATCCTTCCACTGCAGAAGCAAATGTCGTCTCGATGAATATTTAATTAGGGAAGAAAGGGAGAACACTCGGTCCAGTGATCCTTGAAAAGGATAAGGCGTTGCGCTCTACCCCTCCGTTCGTTCATTCGTGTCTTGCGGTTTCGGCTCCGTCCCATTCCGGTAGTCACTCCGATCCCTTACCCATCCCGATCCCAATTCCGATCCCGGAGATGTCGTCTTGATCTAGTTCCTGCCTCAAGCTAACCTATAACTATAACTATCGCAATTTCAAATTCTTGCTACGGCCTTAACGGACATTTGCCGCCGCCTTGACTTTGGGAAAACCCACCCCTGGAGAAGTGGTCGGACTTGGGCTAAAGGTGTGCGCGCATGCGCAACGACGCCTTCTGTCCTTGGTCTCCTTTGTCCTGCCGTGCATATGCTCAACATTCTCGCACTGCCGACTGACTACTGCCAAGACCCCTTCGGAATTCTTACCCAACAACGCGTTCGCCTGAAGGGGGGCAAACATTACCTTGCCATCCGTTTTTTTCCCCCTACGAAAATGACATTTGCTTGGCAGGAAGGTAAACGCTGAAACGTTGCAAAAACAAAAAACAGCACAGAGCCCATGCTAAAAAAAAAAATAAATACCCAAGGCAGTTAGGCGTTTCCGGAAGCAGACTGCTATATACTCTTGAAAAATGTTACTTAATAATCGTCTTTTGATTTTATTTTATGGAATTTTAATTGAAAAAGTTACATTAAATAATAAGCATAAGCAAAAGAAAAAAAAGCTCTTCTTAGAGAACTTATAATATTAAAAACTCTTAAGAAATCTTATGATTTGATTAAAAAAATGTTTGCATATGTTATATTTTCTTTTTTTTTAAAATAAACTTTTACAGTTTCTTTTTTGTGTGTTACTTTTTCTTAGTTTCCTCTAGTTTTCTTTATGTCCATAAAGATAATAGCATTGAGTTATTAAAACCCTCCCATAAATAAAGATACCCCTACATAGGGAAACAAATTCACAAACAAGAAAACCATTTCTGCAAGTTCATTGCACGTTCAGAGGAATATTCTCTCCCTTCGATATTTCATATAGCACTGAAAAAAAAATCCTTTGCACCAACACAGCTGCCCGTCGCCAGGAGCCGCCACATGGAGAAGCCATTGTTCTCCGCCTTGATTGCAGCTACTTGAGAGTAGAACTGACTTCAAGGCTTCCAAGGATGCTCCTAAACGAGCCCTTTCAGTAAGTAGCGTTTATTTTTGGGCTCATCTTTGCATTGTGCCAGCGCAGGAGTGCCAAGTAGCTATCTACGTGCCCAATGGCTTATTTGGCCAGAGCTCAAGCAGCAAAAGATCAAATGAAGATCGGCAGCCAAACAACTGGAAGCCAAGAAAGGGCTTCGTTTATAAATGGAAGTACAAATAATAGATCGTTTGCCAAACATAGGCTAAAAAGAGATGCCTGAAGATCTGTGATCAATAAAATCACTTCCGAAACTCACTCTAATCAAATAAGTGGGTGTACAAATACTTTTAATGAAAATTTCTTTTGATCGATGACAACAAAACAGATCTTTACAAGCACATTTAGCCATGCAGAACCAAATCAATCTAAAGATCAGTGACTAATAATTAAAATGAAGGAATTCTGCATAAATATAAGTATATTTTAAAGTAAAATGATTATATAAGAATCTTTCAATCATTAAATAAAAAATTTTAATTTAAAATCATATCTAATTCAACGTAATGTTTAATACAAAAATTCTCAGCAAAAAACACTTATTTTAATCAATGAAAGTCACTAATCAAAACCACAAATAAATCCGCCAAGGTCCAGAGATTACATAAGAAAGTGATTAAATATAAACATTGAATGAATTTAAAATTCAAAAGTACACAAGCAGGAAATTAGCTTGATTCTTTGTCTTTGACGATCGTTTGGGTCACCGGAGCCCTCTTTTCTGTCTATCGCTCTTGGCGTTTCCTTGATAAGATTGCAAAAATCAACGAGGTCACACGGGCTGATAAAGCAACTTCATTCATAAACCTCATCTGCCATGTCTGGCTTTACATTTAGAGTGCGATTTGTGTGTGTGGAGTGTACTCACCTTAGCATCATCGTTTGAGTAGCTGCTTAAACGCCGTTTACGTTTATTGCCAATGGAAGTTGTGGCTGTGGTTGATGTTGCAAGGTTCTGGTTATCACATGAGCACATCTCGACTTTTTTGGAAGCTGCTGAGGTTCCCGGTAGCTCTTCTTTTTGCTGCTGGATTGGGTTTGGAATTGGGATTGGGCTAAAGCTGCTGCTGCTGCTACTATTACTACTGCTGCTGCTGACGACGACGACAATGCTGCTGCTGCTGGCTTCTCCGTTGCTGGGGGCGGTTGTGACTATGCTGCCATTTGGCTCAGTGCTGCTGGTAGAACAAACACTGCAAAAGAAAGTACACCAAATTAACAGTGGAACGATAGGGTCTTGAAAACATATAAATTAGAATTTACATTTTTTGTAATACATTAAAAATAAACTTATTTTAAGGTCACTGAATCAGAGCTATTTTGTTTATAAATACAAAAGTATCATTATAATAGGAAATTCTTTATCAAAGACAAGCATTACCTATTATAAATTTATTTTTTTTTATTTTTTGTTTATGATATAGACATAATAAAAAAAATATATAAAATATAGTTAAAAAGATTATATAATATTCAACCCAGTTAACTAATATATCCCCCATATTTATGTGGACCCAGACCACTGTGCAAAATTTCTGGGGATCAGTTATTTCCAATTTCTCCGTTTTTGCAAAATAGAGAAATTTAATATGCCACGGAGGCACGGAGCAAATCACATAGGGGCGTTCTAAAATTGTAAAATAGATACAAACGAAACGAACATAAATTCATTGAATTTTGACACGGCATTCGGAATCGCGATGCGAGACTCGAGATTAAGGCGCCCAACGGATACATTAATATTTAACATCCGGGAAATTGAAATCGAGATGACTGATCGAGGGAAATGGGATCGTCAGCGTAAGAGGGCCCGAGGAAAGCCTTTCCTCCTCAAGATTATTGAGCAATTTTGGCAAATTTGCATGCACATTAGCATAATGCAAGAGGCTGGCAAACGGAAAGAATTGAATTTCCTTCCTCGAGAGGACAGATGTTCCATCACCTCTCCTTAATTCTCAAGTGTTTCAAAGCAGCCAAGCAGCCAAGCAGCCAACTGCACTTTAAGCAATTCGATGCGCGAATTTTTGCAATTTGAGCAAGGGGGCAAAAAAACGAAATCTAACCCTTGGGACCGAAAAAAAACCTTCTTGAGGAAACCTCCCGAGAAGGGATAAAAAAGGGCTGCTGCACACATAAATTCAAATGCTTTAGCCATTTCTCCTTGGTCAGAGGATCGCGGGATCGCAGCCTCCTGTTTTGATCCTGGCCCTGCACTATCGATCGCGTTTAATGGTTTAATGAACAAGAAAAAGTAATCACGTAGTAAATTACGAGGAAATGAAATCGCTTAAAAATGAGTTATGGCGAGAAAGGACTAATGGAGCGTACGTGCTTTCTTTCTTTCCCTTTGGTTGTGTTCAGGGTTCGGGGTCAGGGGTTCCCGCTCATCTCCGCGGCTTAAGGTTCAAACGGAAATTTGTCATTTCGAGGTGAAAGTTTCCTTTCCTTTGCGGCGAAGCCAGAAATCTTGTTTCGGTTTCGTTTCCCCTTTCTTTTTGTTTTGATATTGAATCTGAATCCCTGTAGGTAGCAAATGGCTAGGGTGACTATCTCGTAGATGATATGGAGAAATTCCAAGAAGTAGTTCCTGGAATATGGTCCAGTGCATAATAAGTGGACTATCGAAGGATCGATCTTTCTCACATGATAAATTATAAGAAACTGTAGGAGGCTGTGGGATTAGGTTTTAGTTATTTATTGCTTTACTTTGTATCGATAAAACAGTTATATTGGGGAAATTCGTGTTACCATAGTGGTAATCTATTGTCAAATCATGTTTTTAACTCTTAAGGTTACCAGTTAAATATATAAAAGATTGTAATTTTTTGCTTTCACCCAAGAAAAAAATGTTAAAGTTTAGTTTAAATGAGTGTGTCTTGAAATTAACTACAGACAGTATAAGTATTAAATTAATTCTAATTCAACTATACCATGTATTAATTTAATGAGAAATTACTCGTACCCATTATTTTAAATTTTATGAAACAATAGTTTAGTTTAGTTCTATGACAATTTTCGGGTGTAGAAAAGGTTTAATTAAAGATTAAAGAATTGAAAAAACCTTTTTAAGATATTTTTTTGCAGTACTAAAAAATGCCCTCAAAAGTATGCAAAAATTTAGGAATAACCTTAAATTTAACTTCTGTCACATTTTTGATAAATTCCGTTATAGATGTCAGTGAAATAGTTTCGCAACACATACCAATAATTATGTCGCACACATGTTGACCACGAAATATGTCCATAAAATGGACTATCACTTAGTTGATCGCAGTGATCAGTGGGCCAAAAAGAGGAGGGTTTGGGTGATGATGATGTTGAATGTCGAATGTTGAATGTCGAAGGGGACGCAACTGACAAAACCAAATGACTAGGCAATTATGCAATTATGGTCATGCGCAGGCACCCACAAGCAAAAATAAATAGGACAGGACAGGGTGAACAAAACATATTAAACTCAATTAATTTTTGGCCAGGACATGACTGAAAAAGCCGCAGAAAGTGTGTGGACTATGTGACAGCATTATCAAACAGTGCAACCCCACAAAATACAACCCTCCGATCGAACCAAACTGACCCGAACCGTCCCACAAACTAAACACTTTTCTAATGACATTTTCGCGCACAATTATATACTAATCACACGCAGGACCTCGAAAAAGTCCTCGTCCTGTAAAGGTATGCCGAGTGTAGAGGAATGCGACACTTGGTTATCAACGTAGTTTCAACTTTAACACCTACAAGCCATCTGTTTTTTTTTTTCTGTATTTTGAAATTGACGGTGAAAATGCATTTTAGATTATCGCACTTGAGTCGGAAGGCCAAAAATGGAAATGCAGCAGGAACAGTAGGATCCCGAGTGTTTTTAGCTCCTGCGGGTCTTACTTTCCCGCGGAGTATTCGGGCATAACCAGTTGGGCTCTGTCACTTTATAATTACGAAATAGCTATTAGATAAACATCACTTTTGGTTAAAAAGAATTAAAGGGAGACGCGCTGCCTACCAGGATAGTTAGTGGTAAATAAAGGAAGTCGATCGGTTGTCGCCACAGGAAGTCGTCGAGCGTTAGAAACAACTGGTATTAGACTGTTGGGGAGTCGCCATTTGGCTTTCATGTGGGGTGCTAATTAGTTTGGTTACGACTGCGCAGGAAATGGATGTCACGAAAAGTCTTTGATGGAAAAAGGAAATGTCTAAGATCATAAATGAAGCCAAGAAAAACATGCAGGTTGCTCGAAAACGTATACATCTTACAGATTAAAAGGCCTGAAAAAAATTCCTTTACCACTCTAAGCATAAAGAAAGTTTAAATATATTTTTAAATAAGTAAGAAAATCTTTATTAGCTGAAAAAAGATTTACAAGTTGTTTTTATAGTTTCGTTAATAACATTACCTATTTAAATGTGGGGAGCATTAATATTTGGAAAAAATACAATTTAGAAAAATGTTAAATTATTTAAATTATAATAATTACTTATTTAATACAAAAAATAAAAATGTAACTTACCTCTTGGCATTTAAACCCATAATTGTACGGCCTTGAGAAGCCGTTTAGGTCCTTTATCCTGAATCTTATACAAATCCTGCTCGTCAAAAGCAGAAATGTTTTGAATAATTTAAATAATTTAAAAGGAACTGCAAATAAAGACAAACAAAATATAAAATAAATAATATAAAATCAAAGAAAATAATACAAATATATAAAAAACAATTAAAAATCCAAGGGCCCAGGACATGGTCATCACATGTGACGAGTTTTCGAATTTTTACGACTTGACAAAACCTATCAACAGTTAGTCCCGCTTTATCTGTAGATCCTTGTGGAAGAAAACAACATATGATCCTTGACTCACACACAGCATGTGGTCGAGGAGTTTCCTCGTTTCGAAAACCCCAAACAAATTTGTTTACGTGAGTTTTTCTCGAAACACAAAAAATAAACTTCTTGCTTTTAGCAATACGAACGTAAAGTAAATATTTTCTAACGGCTGCAAAGTGTGTCTTAGATATTCAAATTACAGAAATCGAAAAAAGGTGGGTAGGAGATATGTTCTAGAGTTGGGTCATCCTAACAGGTAGTCACGGGATGGTCAATTTTTTATCATAATAGAATTTCCACGAGTCTCAATTGATGCCTTCTGCTGCAGGTTCAGCTTCAGCTGCTCCCCCTTGTGTTTCCTGTACACTCAAAAAAGGCTAGGTATATTTAAGTATCATTTTTTTTATAAAATTAATTAAAAGAATGTTGAAATAAGGAAAATTATACTTAAATTATTTGTTATATTGCCATGTATGGGTCAGAATTTACATAAGCTTTCAAAATCTTTACAAAAAATGTTATTAATTATAAACAAACTGTAACCCATACAAATAAATACAAAAGCCAGCAAAAATTGTCCTTATTGAAATCCAATTTATGTTCCTCTACTATTTTATCCAATAATATATATTTTTGAGTGTACCAATGTCAGGTGCTTCGCATTCGGCGCATGCGCAACATTCACATTTTCTAGTGGTTTACAACGCTTAATTATATCGAGAAGTCAAGTCCTTATAGCCACCGATGCACCTGTTGTGGCTAGAGTTGATCGCTGGCCTTCTGTTGGAGGATGATGGCGATGCGGGGCAGGTGAGTGGAGTGGAGTGGTGGAAAAGGGGACAAGATAGGTGCAGCTGTTGATGTTAGTACCCCACCTTAAAGGATTCTATCAATGTCGCTGCTGCTGCTGCTGCTGCTGCTGTAACTTCAATTGACTTCCCCCTCGCTAATTGTATCCTGTCGCGTTTCCTTATTCCCCTTCCCCTTCCTCTTCCCTTGCTTTCTTTCTTCCTTCCCCTTCCTTCATTTATTTTTCCTTTTTCCGTGTGACATATGGGTATGGCGTTATTTTCGCCACGATTTATGGACCTCCCCTTGGGCAAACCATTCAGTTCGACACCTTTTTCCTACCCCGTATGCGAATGCTTTTTAATCAACGACTTTCTTTCCCTTACTTTCTTATTCTTATGCAACGAGTATTGTCTATTTTCCACACTTTTTTGCCTCTCTTTTCGTTTGCTTTTTCCGGCCTTTTCTCATGCTCAATATTTTGCTTTTTTCAACCATCATTTTCACACTAATTGCGGATATGCCTTCTAATTAATTAGGTTCTCTCTTCTTCCCCGAAGTCCTTTTAGATCAGTTTTGCTTTCTCGGTTTTGTCTAGTTTTCAACCCTCACTATTCTAGTTACAACAAAAAAATATTGCTTCATAAAAAAGATATATACAAACGATCACATGGAAATGTGTGTAAGTTGTATATTAGCTAAAACCATTGTGCACTTAAATAGTTAAAAAACCTAAAACGTAGAGAAAGATTAATATTTTAAACAAATCAAACGAAAGTAGATCATAGATAAATCCTTTCAGATTCTGAATCTTCAAAATTCTTTTTTATGTAAGATAAAATACAAGGAGGATTTTAGTGGCTTCGAATAATTTCACAATATATTTTAATCAAAAATAATTTCCAAATGCTTTTAGAACCGAAACTTAAAAACATAATAAACATTGAATAATCTCGTTAAACTTTTTAAAACCGATACTAAAAAAAAAAACCAAAAATAATGAGCAAAGATCTTTACGTTTTAATCTCAATTTAAAATCTCTAAAAATTAATTAATAAAAACGGTAATTTATTTCAAAAGATTAATTGTCAGATAAATATAATCCCTTTACTTAATTAATAAAACCAAATGCTTTAAAATTAATATGCTTTGATAATAGCATATAGAAATCGAAGTCATTTCAAAAGAGTTGACAAGGGATTGTGGCAAACAAATGACTTTATTATGGCTAAACCTTTGCTCCTTGTCCAAATACCAACGACTAACGTGGATAGAGGCCTAACTAATTGCAAGGACTGCCCACACGCAGGCTCAACTCGATGGAAACGAAGCTGCACAGCTTCCTCTAATGAAGATTAAGTGAAAAAGTCTGCGAGTTCGGAGGAAATCTGTGCCGGCGACAGGTATACAAATATGAATAATACCGCGGATCGGCCGGATAAACACAGGGGTTTCCTCTCAGCGCCTAATTAAAGGCGATGCATGATGCATGAGTTGAATCTGTTTACCTGGACGAGGTCTCCAAGGTCATTTAACTGGAATCGAGTGTGTGTAGAAAATAGGGCCGACCGATTTCGGCAAATCTAAAGAAGGAAGGCCCCTTCTCTCAGCTCGAAATATTTGCTTTGTGCAGAAGATTTCCCACAAGGAAATGGATAGTATGTAATGCAACTTGAGGCAATGCAAAGAAGAATGCGCAAAATGCGCAAAGGAGAGCGCAAAAAATATAAATACGAATATATGTATCTCAGCGAGTATATGTATGTATATATAAAGGAAAACAGGTCTCGAGTTATCCGGGGGACCTCTGGAGACGCCGTCATCTTCATTCTTCATTCTTCACTTTATTCAGTTTGGCCTGCAATTTTATGCGTCCTTTTTTGGACCGATTGTGTGTGCGAAGAGCTGCATTTTGGGCTGTGCACATGCGACCAGATACATTCCACAGATACTCGAGATAAAGTTGCACATGTATCTGGGTATCTGTTGCGACGGCGATGTCAATGCCAATGCCCCTTCTCCTCCTTTGTTGTGGTCTGGCTACAACTCTTGCAATTAGTTGAATCTCCAAAGGGCCGACAACTACACCCAGAAAAAAAATAATCTTTATGGCTCATCTTTTTCCCAAAATTAGGGAATTTTGTTTTCTGAGTGTACAAGAGTTTAATAAAATCAAAAATGTCACTTTCTGTACAAAGCTAACTTTTTCTAGATATAGCATTTGCTAAGCCAAGAAAATCATAAGCTTGATTGGTTTTTTGAAACTTGATCTCCCAAGTTATGTCAAATATTGTGCATGGATAAATATCCAATATATTTTATAAAAAGTCTAGGATAAAGAAACTACTGTTACTACTGATACGCGTTAAAATATCGTCTTAGGCTTTTCTAAAATTGTTAGTCGGGGCTATCCGCAAAAACCACTTCCGTGTTTTTGTTCGGATCGTCACTTTTTGGTCGCTATCTTGAATGAACTCAACCTTATAACTAATATTGTAGACCCAAAGAAGGGTAACAAAGTAAATATGTCTTGATTTTAATTTGGAAAGTTTTTAAATAAAAATAAACAAAAAAACTTTTTTTTACGGACGAATGAATATTTTATAAATGTTTACTATAAATTGAAGAAATAAAAAAAAATTTTTTTGACGAACTGAAGAATATTTAAAACATCTACCTCATAAATATAAAATTTGCATTAAAATAGGTTTAAAAAAAAAATGATTGTCTTTTTAATAAAAATCATATGCTTAAGCGAAATAATTGTTCAACATTCTAATACTTTTCTGTATCTAAAGTAGATAGCTCTGCCGAATATACGCAGCCTACACCCAACTACAGGGTACCAAAAACCGAAAACAGGAAAGCCGATCGTCTCTTCTCCTGCGCGCCTCTGTATCTGTAGTTGTATCTGTATGTGTGTTTGTGGTATCTGAAGAGCGCCGCCGCCTGGGCAAACGGCGTGTGAAAGTAAAGCCGGCCCAGCCGGAGAGGAGAACAAATCAAAGTTCTTGAATGGATGGCGATGGCGGTGGTGGCGTTCCAGTTCCAGGAATCGACGGCCTTGAAGTAGCCGTTAGGACACCGAGAGACGCGCTCAATTGACTATTTAGTTTATATTTAGCAGCGTCTAAAAGGATGCCCACAGCCAGCTCAAGTGGCCTGCGTCCTGTTCTGTCCTGTCCTCTTTGCCCCAACTCTCTTGCTGGCTGGACTATCCTTTGTTTGTCTGGGAATAACTGGAAACTGTTTATCATTGTTATTCCTGCCCTTCGTATGGCTTCTCCCCCCAATTCCCATTCCCAATTCCGAATCGGATTCCTCTGGTGGAGCGACAAAATGTATAGACAATAAAAAATGCCCACATATGTATGTATATGCACCATTTACTTAACGAGTTAGTATTCACAACTCATCCTTGGATAGCTTGTAATATTTGTAAGACATTCCGCACTTGTAATTGAGAAATATTTCTGGTGTTTTACCAGGAATTCGGGTTAATATGGCCAGGTGATATGTGTGATTCCATAGTGCAACAAGCGTGTATGATGAGAAAATATTACAAATGAGATTTTTTGGGTTCTCATCTCGTCTACAAAATCCTTTGATGGCCTGCCGCTAGGAAAGGTGGAAAGCACTTGATCAGAGCAAGAACACAAAAGGTGTTGACTAGGATTTGAATAGTGACTTAAGGACTATTTAGATGGGGCAAACAAAAGAAAAACCCATCGACCTTGTTCTTTAAGTGTTTGTGAGTAAGGATGTGCGTTCTAAATAGTTAACACTTTCAAGATATTAATATTTTATTTTATAAATATTTTCTTTGAAATATTTGTTTTTTTCTCTGTAGCTTGAAAATTTAAATATACATTTTATGAAACTGATCTTGAGTTTTTTTTTTCTATTTTGTAAAACCTTCCAACTTGTTTTTCAAAAATTCTAAACATCTCCAGCAAACATTTAATAATGAAATTTCGGCCCGATCATGACATAATCCAAAAATTAAGTATACAAAAAGCCACCCCATCAACAATCCACCAGCCAGCCCCCCAGACACGCCCCTCCCACGCCCACTCGACAAGTTTAACGGCGCAAAAAGCGAATACGCAAAAAAAGCTCGCCAAAAGAATGCAAAAAAAAAGAAGAAGAAAGTCAAAATTGCGAAGAAAACAACAACAGCAATAAGCTGTAGCAGGTAAATGGAAAAAAGAAGAGAAGGCGAAAGAGGAGAAGATAAGAAGGAGGTGGGGAAGAAGATGAAGGGGAGGCAATATCAATGAACTCCATTCTGCGTACGCGTAGATCGACTTAGCGTCTATCTCGCTCGCTCAATGGTTAACACCACGTACATAGAGTTACTACACAGAAAAAAATGTGTTTGAAATGATGATGGATTTGTTAAATTACGATAAGGTTAGATGCAGATGTTATCTTATGCATAAAAACCTAGGCGTATCTTGATTTAACATTTAATAGTTTAAAAACAATTTGAAATACTATTTCAAAGCTTGAACTTCTTTCTGTGTATCTTGAATAATTAAATATATAGAAATTTGAGCTTGAGTTGTTTTTTTTCCGTGTACCAAAGATTTTTGCGCCACTTTTGACATAATTCAATTTTTACTCTTTTTTCCCCCATTTTGCTTTGCCCTCTGCTTCGTGTTCGTCAAGTTTTCAAAGGTTCGAAGTTTTGCGTTGAACTTTTCCTGCCGTAGCTGCCTCTGCCGCTGCCGCGGTCGGCGTCGCAGTCGACTTGGGCAGAGCAGTACTAAAAAGTTTTTGTTTGTTGTTGCTGTTTGGCAGGGGAAAAATAACTTGACTCGCTGTTCTGATTGGAATAAAACGGAAGAGAGAGAGAGCTAGCAAGAGAGGGGAGCTCTCTTAGGGAGCGCATTTCTTCTTCATGTGTGTGTGTGTCATTGGAGGAAGCGTATATAAATGAAATGAACATGGGGAAAAAGAATGGAGAAACACAAAGTGGCGCGAATTAGGCGTTTGGGCTGGCGCAGTTTTGTTTTACCGCCCAAAATCTATGCGAATGGCGGGAAAAAGTGCAATTCAGGCGGGAGAAAGATTAGAAAGTTGGTCTTAACAATATGGAGCCAATAAGAATGAGCTGCACTTTATTGGCTCTCTAATAAGAAATGGCCCTAACAGTTCACTGAACGGCATTTTAACCATAAGAAAAGTTGTGCATTCTTATGGGGGCTTGCAAGGCTTTTTCTTTTGCTGCGATTATGCTGATTAGGAACTTGTGATATTCGAATGAGACACTTTTTGGGACTTCGAGAACTAATAGGATAATTTTGACACTTGGAGCACTCTTATACGACCATTCTTGACAGCATGGCCATTCTTATGGGAAACTTTGGACATCCCACCCTCTGCCAATCAGAAAGAAACGGTTTAATCCAGCAGCGTGTCAATTTTCTTATAAGAGGACGTTGTATTTGTAGCAAAAAATGCAAAGACACGACGGCAAACGCAACGTTCTCTCACCCACTCTCTCCTTCTCTATTCCACACACTTGTCACACACGCGTCATAATTTTTTCCACTTTTATTCGGCTTTCTTTCCAATCAGACCATTGTGCAATTGGCATTTACCTTTTAAGAAGTAGGGAAATGCTTGTTTTCCCGGTGTTTTCACTTGTTTTTCAGGGTTTTTCGAGAGTTTTTCGTAGTCGTCGTCGTCGTCACACGCCGGCCACGAAAAAACTTCACGAGCAGCGGAGCAGCGGCAGCAGAGTGATCGCTTCGGCACCGAAAAAAAATTGGTGGAACTGGGGACCGAAAACAGCGACGTCGACTGCTACGCCGACTGCGGCGAGTGTGCAAGAGGAACGCGCCAAAACAAGCTGATCCGAAGCGCCAAAAAAATGCAACAACACATACCACTTTGTTGAATATCTCCACGAGGGAATGAGACAGGAAGATCATCTCCCGCGCAAAGAACAGCCAAGACAGAAAGAGACAGGACGATAAAAGCCGCTGGTGGCAGGCATTTTCGCATTTTATTGAATGGAGTCTGTGGCTGGAGTCCCGCCAGGCTAGTCAGACTCCAATTGGAGGTCCAACAGGCAGAACAGCTGGGTGGCCAAGTCAGCTGACAGGGATGCCAGCAGGGTGGATTTAGTAGGTCAAAACGGGTTTTAAAAAAAATATTAACTACGTTTTTAGGACATTTTAATTGAATTATTTTGTCTACGAGCTTAAAAAATTATACAATAAAAAGAATATATATAATTAATTTTATGAACATTATTAAATTCCTAGAAATTCATCCTAAAATCAAAGAAAATTAACCAAATAGCTGACTACTAAACAGACAAATTTTCCTACCCCTTATTCTTTTAAAAAAATGTAATTAGTTAATATGTAAACGCTTTTAAAGTGGCTTTAATAAATTGCAGGCTAAAAACATCTGACAAGCACTTGCAAACACAACCAGGTGGCAACGCCGCCCTGAAACCAAACAAACCGCTGCCACTTTGTTGTTGTCATCGAATACGATTCGAGCATTTTTGGCCCCAACTTCAAGAGGCTGCAGAACTAGAAAGCTAAAAGAAAACCCCAACAAATGTATAACCTGGTGAAAGCTTAAAACTTCTAGAATCTGATTTTGCTATAAAAACGAAAATCCCGCTTAATTCGGGTGAAACAAGTGCAATCAAAGTTTGCGATTTCCCGCGCGCGGGAACTCGACGCGATGACAGCTGCGCGCGCAGAGAGCAAAAGCAAGAGACACAGTCAGAGAGAGTGCAAAGAGAGGGGGAAAAAAAGAGAAAAAAAAACGTGAGGCAGCGACGTCGACGTTTTTTTTCACTAGAAGAAAAAACGTTTAAAGGAGATCGCTTTTAGAGTGGGGTTCACGAACTATTAAGCCCTACACCTGCTCCAAAATGAGTTGCCCTATAAACCCAGATCACTCACTTGCTGAAACGCAGGATTTGGCCAAATTCTCGCGGGAATTACACACAAAAAAACACACGCGGACTGGAATGATGATGAAAAAATTGCACACACCGCCGCACACACACTGGCACACACGCATACCAACGCACACCAGCCAGCAAGACAGTTTCACCTTTTCCGTTTTTTTCACCTTTTTCACGTTGCTTTTCGGGCTTTTTGGGCTCGTTTCTGTTAGCCAGCTTAACCCCACACAAGTCAAGGCCAATTCGAGTCGATCCCCGTTGGCCAGCTGAAATTCTGGTTACAAGCAAGCACACTTTTTCGGCCTTTTCAGCGACTCGAAAATAACACAATTATCGGCACTGCGGCGAGATCGAGAAATCGAGAGAGCGAAATGAAACGAAGCGATCGGCGCGCCGAGAAAAAAGAGAGCGAAAATCGACGGCACCAATACAATAGTAATCTGGCCTGGCCACACGGCACAAAAGAGAGTCGCCGCGATGCAAAGGGCAGCGTTGCCATCCCGGTTGATCGTGGGATTTTTCTAGGGCGCGCAATTTGAATGTAAAGTGGGTCAGCCAGGCAAATACTTTTTTAATTAGGTTTGCTTTGTTTTTGCATTGCACGTGGGTTGTTGTACTTCGTTTAACTTTTTTTTACACTAGATTAAACAGATTTTTAATATTTACATCTGAAAAACAGATTTCGCTCAACCATTTCATTTATACCCGATATTGGCGCACAATGTTTTGAATTTATAAAGGGTTCACATTGGTTTTAAATCAAAAGACTTTTAAAATATTGTTATGCTAAATATCTTATTAATAGGTTTTTTAATCCATATTGTATTGACCCATTCAATTTCACATGTATATTTATAAGTTATCATTTTTTTAAGCGCGCCTTTTGAATGTGTTGTTGGTGAGTTGTGTTGTGAATATTTTGTTTCATATTTTGTTTGTACATTGGCTATTATTGGTTTCATTGGAACTCTTTTAGTTTACTTCATTCCATTAGTATTGCGATTACATGATTTTTCATTAACATCAAACGAAAAATACGTTTTTCTCAAGCACTTTAAACTCACTTATTTCGCGCCTTTTTTTTAAATTTATAATTTTTGAAAAACCGTATGTTTTATATGGTTTTAGAATTATTACTTCACTAAATGCCGTTATATTATTGAGAGCACTGTGTAGACTATACAATATAAGTCAATAAAACCAAAGTTAAGCTGATCTCTATTAATTCACATTCATTTCAATTTTAAAACTTTTTTAAGCGCGCACTTCGAGCGATAAATCACACCATGTAGGTAACGTTTTTATTTGGTTATCTTTTTAGCTAACTTTTTTGTGTCTCAGTACACATTTAAAACAATTAAACTTGCGTTTAGTTATTTTCTTAATCAACGCTTAATTATTTAAATTTGACAATGCGCTTTTTTACGCGCCTTTTTTGAACTTGAACCTTATATTAACATAAATATTTATTTATCGGTTCTTAACTTCCTTACGCAAAAGAGGTTATTTGATTATAAGGCAATCACTATAGAATCTTTGTTTCTATTTACTTTTTTTTTTAACTTTTTAAAAAAACTTAGGCAACCACTGTTTTTGCGCGCCCTATTTTGAATTTAAAATAGTCTTATTTTTTGAGTAATATTGTGTAACGGGTTTTCTTTAGTTAATGAATAACTTAAATATCCAGTTTTGTTGATTTAATTTAAAATTTTTTAATAAATTATATGTATATTATTCTTATAAACATTTCTCATTCGTTAATAAATAACTTTGGATGTCAAGTTTTATTAATTTATATAAACACTTCTCATTAAATTAAAAATCCGTTTTGTTTTGTTTGTTGTTATTTTAATCAGATTATGAACTTGCTTTTATTTAATCGCTGATTAAATTGGAAGTCTAATTTTTTAAAAAGACTTTATTAACCACTTAGGGCGCTATTTATTAATATATACATACGTATACATATTAATAATTTGAGCACCTCTACTATTTCATATTTATTTATAGTTTTTAGAATTTATATTCAAATATATGTACTTTAGTTTGCTTGTACTTTTTACTTGTTTGAATGCCAATTGCCACACCTTTTTAGAAAATCTCATTTTCTTGGAGGTTCAACCGCGGCTTGGTTACTTCGCAAGCTCGAAAAAGCAAATAAAAGAAAGTGGCCGATAATTTAAGCGAATTGAGCACACCGGCAAACTGCTTGGGCAGCGTTTCGTCAAATTAAAAGCCAAACAAAAAAAAGGAACAATTGCCGAGCGCAGCAGAAAAACGTCTTCTTCAGCAGCAAAGCAATGGCAAAACCACAATCCATCCACTCTCTTAATTTCCTCCTCTGTGTTTTCGTTTCCATATTTATTGCGATTTTTGTTTTGATATTATTAATTTACGTTTCAAACTTAAGAAAAATCACTAAGCCAGTTCGAGCCAGGCGAGCTTCAGTTTACAGAGGCGACTGCTTGAATCCGCGGGCCGCGTAATCGGCGGGCGCCGAACGGTCGGAGACCTTGGGATAGCCCTCATCTCCGGGAACGCACGCCTTGCGCGAGTGGATCACACGCCATCCGCCCTTGCGGGTCCAGTCCTGGAATGAAAGTAGTGGGGTTAAGTGGTGGGATTATTACATTATCTTCAAGCTCAAGAGGTTGGAAAAGCTGTTTAAAAATCTATATCATGTATTTTTAAACATAGCTCAGCTTGAGCTTGGGATCTCAGTTTCAGATGGAGAAAATACATGATTAGGAAATATTTTTAGGTGTTGAATATATAGATGGGGAACGACAATCTCCTTAAACTGACATTTTGCTATATTTTTTGCTACAACAGTTATTCCACGATCGAAATAAATTGATAGAGCCATTGTTTTTAAGTAATAGATTCATAAACTTGTACTTAAAAATACATTTCTCCTTAGGTCATTTCAACTTCCAAAGTGATTCCTTGGTTATCATATATGATAATCATTGTTTTAGCAGCTTACAAGTATATCATCATTGCAATATTTTATTTTGGGTACTCTATGCGAACCTTTCGACGTAATGGTTTTATTTTTAACTGTTTAAAATATGTAGGCATTCTTCAAAACTGAGAATAACTTAAAGACATAGTAACCGTGTTTTGATACAACTTTTTAGGCGCACTTTATCATATATGTACATTACAATTTAAAGTGTCTTGTTCAGCAGTATATATCCCCCAAAAAGGATGTTAAATGTTTGTCAAAAAGTACAAGCACTTTAAGTCTTCTACCATTTCTATTTGGAATAAATTTGCTTAGTGTAGCAATATAGTTGTTTGATCCTCGTCGCTTTTAAACTAGATATAAAAGCTTTTAACTGCTTAAATGGTAAATGGAAAATAAACTGAAGGATATGCCTTATACGATTTTAGTGGAAGGTTAACAGGATTAAAAATATGTCCATTACTGTCTTTTCAACCCACTTTTCCAAGGAGTATAGCAACATTCAGTACACTCCAGTTCCAGGAAGCAATTCGAACTGATTCACTTGCAACCCAGCTAAGTGGAATCCTTGACCCATTACTCACATTCTGGTTGTACTTGAAGTAGTACGCGCCGGCGTAGATTCCGGTGAGAGCGAGCAGTGCCTTTCCGGTCCAGTAGCGCACGGTGAATGCCCGCTGGAAGCCCTGTAATCCGAGCAAGCGTTACTCCTCCGATCAGAAATAAGTGATTACATAATGCGCGTGCTAATAACTCACCAGGACGGGTTCCAAAACGTTGCACACCTTGTCCAGAGGGGCGCGATAGAAGCGCTTGATGGGATTATTCAGTTCCAGCTCCAACGCCGGCACTTTGCGGGGTCCGTGGTGCAGCTCCTGATCCTTCAGCCACTGTTTTCGCCAGGCGCGCTCCTCCGGCAGCATTCCAATCAGGCGCTCCCGCTCGCGCACCATCCGGCCGGCAATGGCCATCGGCTTCACGCCGCCCGTATCCGAGGCACCTCCAGCTGTGGCCACCATTTTACACCGATTCTACCTGGGTTTTGCGATGTGGACGTCCGAAAACGCCAAAAATTGTATAATTTAATCGGGCAGACGCAATGAAAAAAAACAGAACAGCTGTGCGGACCAGTGTGACCACAAACTGTACTTTAAACTAGTTCCCAGTGCGAACCGGAACCAGTATGGAATCAGCTATTTCAAAAACGTGTTCGTTAAAAGAAATACATTTATATTTCTACACAAATTAAGAATTATAACTAAGAAGAAATACATTTATATTTCTACACAAATTAAGAATTATAACTAACTGCTTAGCATCATTAACTAGTAATTTTATGCAATTTGTAGTAACGTATTAAGATCCACAACTTTTCTTTCTCAGAATCGTAGTTGTAATGGAAAAGTTGATTTCAGGCTACGAGGGAATTCTTTTTTTTTTCTTGATGAAGGCCTTGCCTAATGTGATAATGTTTTTGTATATTTTTTTCCCTAATAAACATTTGGCTTCTATTTGATAAATAGCTAGATTTCCCCCGAAAAAGGTCAGATAGACAGCACTAAACAATTTGCGGAATCGATAGCCATTGCTATCGTGTTATCGGAGCTTCACATGTTTTGCGGCGTGTGTTGAAATTGTTTGTAAAAAATAGACAATAACGCGAATTGAGGCATGGATATAGACGAGCTGTTCGACTGCTTCGACGAAGTGGCGCCGGAGGTACAGCCGCCGGTGATCAACCTGGATGAGGAGCCTTCGGGAAGTGGAGGTGCCAAAAAGGCAAGCAAACGGCAGGCGCAGACTAAGAATACAGCGAAATCCTCTAAAGAAGTGGAGCAGGAGGGTCAGGAGGGCCAGGAAGAGGAGCCCACCAAGCGATTGAGAAAGGAAGAGTCGGAGGATGTGGTGGTTGCGGAGGCGGAGGAGGAGGAGGAAGATGAGGATGAGGAACCCACTCGCACCCTCGATGTGGATGATTCCGACGCCTTGGAGGCGCTGCGCACCCGGATTGTGACCCACCTGCTGGACGCACCGAAGTCCTGCACGCACGAGGTGGCCGCCCATCCCGACCAGGAGTACATACCCCTGCAGCCGTTCAGCGGCGTTCCCAGCAAAGAGTACCCCTTCGTGCTCGATCCCTTCCAGCGCCAGGCCATCCTGTGCATCGACAACAGCCAGAGTGTCCTGGTCTCGGCCCACACGTCGGCGGGCAAGACGGTGGTGGCGGAGTATGCCATTGCCAAGTCACTGGCCGCCAAGCAGCGCGTCATCTACACCACGCCCATCAAGGCGCTGTCCAACCAGAAGTTCCGCGAGTTCACCGACGAGTTTAAGGACGTGGGCCTGGTCACCGGTGATGTGACCATCAATCCCTCGGCCTCTTGCCTGATCATG